CTCAAGGCTGGCACTCTACCACATGAGCCACAGCTCCACTTCTGGCTTTCCGGTGGTTCATTGGCAATCAAAGCCTCACAGGCTTTCCTGCCTTGCTTGATGTCAAACCATGATCCTCACAGTTCAGCATCCTGGATTACAGGCATGAACCATGGTGGCCAGCACTGGTAAATAGTCTTTATACCATCTCTTGAAGAGGACTGCGTGAGATAGCGGAATGAGGTGAAGGGCGATAACAGACTGAAGAGAATCCCACCGGCCCCGCTGTAGGATGGGAGCATGCTATTTGCTGATCTTACAAACTCTGCATTGAGCCATAATCCTCCAGATCTCAGCTTCCTAAGCAGCTAGGATTACAGGCATGAGCCACTGCACAGGGTTTGGCTGATGCTTATATTTGCTCTCTGTTCTGAGGTTGGAATCGAGTTTCGTTATTATCTGGTGTTCACATTTATTTCAGATACATTTAAGAAGTAACCATGGTTGAGTTTCCATTCCAGGCAAACAAGAGAAACTAGAAGGTATGTTTACAGAGGATACTTTGAGCCTCTGAAGCACAGGTCCTCATTCCCAGGGCATTATTATGCAAGATACAGGAGATTCTGTGGACCACTCTGCACATGAGCTTTGAAGAGTGTTCAGACCATAACAGACAAAAAGAACATGATAGGGTAAATACATAAGCATTAATATTTGTGACTTTTGTCACTAAAAAGGGAGATATTAGCCAGGCACCTGTGGCTCATGCCTAGTATCCCAGCTATTCAGGAGGCTGAGATCTGAGGATCATGGTTTGAGTGTAGCATTGGCAGGAAAGTCTGTATGATTCTTATCTCTAATTAACCACCAAAAACCTAAAGGGGAGCTGTGGCTCAAGTAGTAGTCTGAACAAAATTGTAGGGAGAGAGTTCAAACCCAGACCCTGAGTTCAAGCCCCAGGACTACCACCAAAATGAAACTTCAATGTATGATGAGAATTTTTTTGGTCAGTCGTGGGGCTTGAACTCTGGGCCTAGGCAATGTCCCTCAGCTCTTCAGCTCAAAGCTACTGCTCTACCACCTGAGACACAGCACCACTTCCAGTTTTCTGGTAGAATTGGAGATAAGAGTCTCACAGACTTTTCTGCACAGGCTGTCTTTGAACTGTGATCTTCAGATCTCAGCCTCCTTGAGTAGCTAGAAAGACAGGCGTGAGCCACCAGCGCCCGCCGAGAGTTTTTGTATATACAAAATTCCCATTGACTTTAAGAGCATATAAAGTCAATAGATTCATGTAAATATGCATGAATTAACTCTAGAATTAATATAGATTTGATAGTAATAATTCCTGCCTACTCTATGCCAAAAGATATAGTAGTAATTACAAAGGAGTTTAAAAAATAAAAAAAGACTCCCTGCTCTTTTCTAGCTCTTTCTCAGCTCTTTCCTTCTCTTCTCTTTCCCAGCTCTCTCTCTTTCCCAGCTCTCTTTCCCAGGCCTTTCCCCACCGCGTGGAGGGCCAAGATGGTCTGGTGCCAGCCAGAACGATGAATAAACCTACCCCTTACCTGAATACCACGTGTGTGGTGCTGTTTTTACTCAGTTACCTCTTTTTAAAAACCTAACGTAAATGGTGTCGTGACTCGGATAAAGGGCTTAAAGTCAAGATAGGTGGGATTCCTCTCTGGTTTTTTTCCTCCTTTTGCTTTTTTGTTTGTTTTTCCCTTTTTGTTCTGAGGAATACCCACAGTTCTGACAGCCTTTTGCGAACCCATCTGTCTGCTGCGGACACAGCACATCGATACCATTACTGGCCTTCACATCCACGTCCACACCACTTCTCTACTCTGGTGAGTGAAACTACTCTCTACAGTTCTCTGTTGCTCAGTCTCTGTCCAGACGTGGCGCCACGCCAGAGAGCTCCTATGGCCTTTAGCTGAAAGGCCGGTCACCTCTGAAGCCGAGGACGCTTGGTTTGGGGGGCTTGGCTACTTCTCTCTAGAGGGCTCTGGGGGAAGTCGGGACGCCGCTTCTGCCTGGTCAGCTCTCCTTCACTCACCAGACTGACTCTCCTACTCATTTAATGGGGTGCTGCGAGTCATGCCTGAGCCGTGAAACCCCTTTGAAATGCCTCCTGCGCTCCCTGAAAAGCCAGAGCGCCTAATTGTATGCCATTCTCAGATGTGCACAGTTTTTGCTACTACAAAGGTAAATGGTCAGAAGTCGGTTTAATTTCAGGCTCTCTTTGCTCTCTCTCTGCCATTCATGTCCAACTTTGTACCCTTCTTTCTACAATTTTTTGGCTTGTGCCCTGAAGAGTGCGACGCAGGCTGGGTCCCAGGGACCCCCCTCTAGCTTCCCTCTCAAAGGCTAGCCAGTGTAGGCTTGATCTATTTGTTCAGGGTTTCTTTGCATTTTTTCAGAAATTTGCCATCTTGAATTCGCCATCTTGGCCACATGGTAGGTTAAGGGTTTGGCCCTATCTGCCCCTTAACCTTCCACCAAGCTTACTACTCCATCCAGCTATTCTAAGGTGCCTTGCTAACAAGTTGCTCTTTTCATAGGCCCTGGTAACTGAGGCCCAACCATGTGCTGTGCTTTGTTAGCAAAGATGTCTAAACATTGTTGTCAAAATTTTAGGTTTTGAGTTTTGTCTTTTTTGTTTTGTGTTGTGTATTCTACTGACTAAATGGTTCTAAAATACTGGGCATATCTGTGCTAAAATTCTCATCATATCTAATGAGTTTTGTCATTTCAGAATATTTGTTGGCAATTCTTGATAAGGACCAGGTAAGCTCTACTTATTCTACTTGATCTCCTTGTTGCTTTAATTGGAAATAAGAAAGGGCTTTTGTGGCAAAGATTTCAGTTCAAAGCCAGCCTGGGATGAAAAATCCCTAAGACTCCATCTCCCAGCTAAACTCTGCAAGTGGTACTGTAACTCAAAGTGGTTCAGTGCTAGCCTTGAGCAGAAGTGCTCAGGGACAATGCCCAGGCCTTGAGTTCAAACCTCCTTGAATACCAACTGGTACAAGTCATACCAGCAATGAACACCTAGACTCAGCCAGTCTGGGGAACAAAGGAACATGGAGAGGAGTAAGAGGAGACGTCACATCAGCTACTTTGTGCCTGCCCTTTCAAAATTAACCAGAGCCGGGAGGTCAGTAGAAGTAAGAAGCCTGCCCATCCAATTCTATACCTGTCTACCTATTAACTGAACAGGAATTTATATTCTTGCCTTTGTCACCTGATTTCTCTACCTAGTCACCAAATGTCAGAAGTAGTTAGGGACATTTCTGCTAACATTTTCAGCCCCAAGTCCTTCCTCTTGCCATTAATTTGCTCTCTAGTATTTTTTTTCCAGCCCCTCAATGCTCATGAGATTTCTCCAGACTTCATCTAAGGACCCACGCCACCAAGGGACAGCTGCCTTCTCTGGGAAGGGACCAAATTCCAGCCTTTTACCCCTATTGCCAATGCCTCTTGTCAGCAGGAAGTAGCCAGAGAGAATCCCCACCCTATTTCATGATTATTAAAAGGCTGGAATGTAAGGTCTGCTCCTGGATGGATAGCAGACTCCACCTCGCAGCGAGTACCTGCGTTACCTAGGCAACCGTGACACCTGGAAGAGGGCACATCTGCATCTGCTGAGGTCACATCTGAATTTGATGTGGCCACACCTTTCTCCGCCCACACCCTAGATAAGGCCTAGCCCAGGCCCAGACACACGCTCTCTGCTCTCTCTGCTCTTTTCTAGCTCTTTTCTAGCTCTCTCAGCTCTTTCCTTCTCAGCTCTTTCACAGCTCTCTCTCTCTCTCTCTCTCCCAGCTCTTTCCCAGTTCTTTCCCCACCGTGTGGATGACCAAGATGGCCTGGTGCCAGCCAGAACGATGAATAAACCTACACCTTACCTGACAAAAAAAATCAAAAAAGAGCCGGGCATTGGTGGCTCATGCCTGTCATCCTAGCTACTCAGGAGCTGAGATCTGAGAATCACAGTTCAAAGCCAGCCCGGGCAGGAAAGTCCATGAGACTCTTATCTCCAATAAACCACTCAGAAAACTGGAAGTGGTACTGTGGCTCAAGTGACAGAGCACTAGCCTTGACCTGAAGAGCTGAGGGACAGCGCCCAGGACCAGAGTTCAAGCCCCACGCAACCAAAAATAAATAAATAAAGGAAATAGTGTATTTGTGAGTGTAGCAAACTCCCTTGACCAACTGTAAATCTACTGGCTTGGTGCATTCTGTAATAATGGAGTAAAACTTTATGAGGTTATGAATGGAAAACTGAAAATTGTGGTCTTAGAGTTCCTTCTTTAATAAGACTATACCCATGTGTACAGTTGCCAAATGCAATTAATTCCACAGCCCTGCCATAACTCATCACGACATCAAATAAATAGGAATGTGGAATGGGCTTGCAATAAATATGGCATAAAGCACGAGAGAAAAGGACAAGAAAATGGAGTAATGAAGTTGCTTAAATTAAACCAGGTGGAAGGAATCCACCCTCCAGAGGATGAAGAGGAAAAGCAAGTTCTACCTCATGGAATGCTTAAAGAAGTGCAGCTGACCCAGCTGTAGTGGCATATGCCCATAATCCCAGCTCTCTGGGGGCTGAGGCCGGCAGGGTCACAAGCTGGAGTCCAACCAGGGTGAGTTCTGTGCTTTATAGTGAGTAGCTTTTTGGAAAAGAAAGTAAGGGAGGGAGGGAGAAAGAAAGGGAGAGAAGGAGGGATACAGAGAGAGAAAGGGAGGGAGGGAGGGAGAGAAGAGGGAGGGAGAGAAGGAGAGGAGGGAAGGAGGGAGAAAAGGAGGGAGGGAGGAAGGAAGGAAGGAAGGAAGGAAGGAAGGGGGAGAGAGGGAGGGAGGGAAGGAAAGAAGGGAGAAAAGGGAGTGAGAGAGGGAGGGAGAGAGGGAGAGGGGGAGGAGGAGGAAAGTGGGGAGGCGAGGAGGAGTATTTAATGTTTGATTCAGTGCTGTGGAGCCCATGAACACAGGCATGCCATGAAAACTTGCTCTCATGGATTTCCTCTGAAGAGCTTCCTCAGAGCCCCCATGAGGTCCTTGTTCCTCAGGCTGTAGATGAAGGGGTTCAGCATGGGGGTGACCACGCTGTACATCACCGAGGCCGTGGCACTCGAGTGTGAGTTCTGTGTGGCTGAAGAACTGAAATACACCCCTAAGCACGTGCCGTAGAATAGACACACCACGGAGAGATGAGACGCGCAGGTGGAAAAGGCTTTGTACTTCCCCTGCACGGAAGAGATTTTCCGGATGGAGGATCCAATCTTACAGTAAGAGTAGAGGATGCCTGCCAGGGGCCCACAGAACAAGAACCCCGCTGCAAAGAACATGACCAGGTTATTGGGCATGGTGTCTGAACAGGCCAGCTGGACCACTTGATTAAGCTCACAGAAGAAGTGGGGGATTTCCAAGTCTGTACAGAAGGAGAGCCTCAATACCATCAAGCTCTGTAACAAGGAATTCAGGGCACTCGTGATCCAGGACCCCAAGAGTAGCAACCCACAGAGCCGGGGATTCATGACAACTGTGTAGTGTAAGGGGTGACAGATAGCCACGAAGCGGTCATAGGCCATCACGGTCAGGAGGAAATTGTCCAAAACCCCAAAGAGTATGAAAAAGTATATCTGCATGATGCAGCCTTCATACGCTATCGCCTGGCTGTGGGTCTGGATGTTCACCAGCATCTTGGGGACGGTGGTGGAGGTGAAGCCGATGTCCACCAGGGACAGGTTGGAGAGGAAGAAGTACATGGGCGTGTGCAGACGGGGGTCAGAGATGGCTGCCAGGATGATGAGCAGATTGCCGAGCACGGTGATCAGATACATGGCCAGGAAGAGGCCAAAGAGGATGGGCTGCCATCTGGCGTCCTGTGAGACTCCCAGAAGAAGAAATTCTGAGATATATGTGTGATTCTTCAGCTCCATGTAGTTTATATACCTGAAACAGACAGACACAGACAGACGGAGACAGAGAGACAGAGATGGGGACAGGAGGAACCAGAGGCAGAGAAAACAGAACAAAGTCAGCACAAACCTCACCTGAAAGAAGCGCTTTCATGGATTCCACAGTAAGAAGCAGGTGGCTGTTTTGTGAATGAATCTGCTCCCTGACGATCGCTGGTTTGGATCTTCAGTATCAACGCTCAGCCCTTCCTCAACAGGACCTATATCAAAGATATGAATCGACGGCGTCTGTGGAACACACTGGCACCGTCCGGAACATGATTTATCAGAACTCACACTCAAATGTCCCTGATACCTAATGAGCAAGAATGAAAACGCACAAACTAAAAATACACGTGGACGAACATAGAATTACAGAACTGCGAGACTGTCACAGCATATCATGGTGGAAGGAAGGAGATAAGGAGGATACAAGACATGGGGAATGTCTGTGTGGGGTGCGAGTTCAGATGAAAATAACCTGACGGTGACCAGTGGACCCCCCCCCATTGAGGGACTCACAAAGTCACCTGCAGCAATGTGAGCCTGGCAGCAGGAACGGCCAGTGCAAAGGCCCTGAGGAAAGTGCTTCTTTTTGATATTCACAATCAGTCACATGACAAGGCCATTGGCTAAGGAGTAAGGAGAGCCGGCCTCACAGAATAATGAAGGAGAAGGCCTTATTCAACTATGTCAGCAAGACAAACAGATGCTCCCTGACCAGACATTGTTCCCTTTTGTTGTTGTTATTAAGTTAGTTCCTAAGGTTGGGAGAGATAAGAGACAAGGGAAGGGGTGTCATGGATCAAGATGCATTGACTTGGGCTGGGAAGGTGGCTCAGGGGTAGAGTGCTTGCCTCGCATGCCTGAGACCCAGGGTTCGATTCCTCAGCACTACATAAGCAGAAAAAGCCAGAAGAGGTTCTGTGGTTCAACTGGTAGAGTGCTAGCCTTGAACTGAAGAGCTGAGGGACAGCGCCCAGGCCCAGAGTTCAGGCCCCACCAGCAACAACAACAACAAAGATGCATTGACTCATATATGGATATGGTGAATTAAAACTGAAGTACTTTACCTTTAAATAGTTGTACAACTAAAGATAATTTTTTGTAATTCAGAAAAGTGAGTCCAGATCTCAAAGGCAAAGGTACTGGGACAGTAAAGTATCGCTAGAGTTTACTAAACAAGGGGAATTTAGTTAAGCTTGGAAAAATGATCTTGCCTTTTGCTCACCTTTGCAACTTTACTCCTGAACTACTGGTATCTCTGACTCAGGCAATGTGAAAATAGATAAGGAAAAAAATGAATTGAGGGGCTGGGAAGGTGGCTCAGTGGTAGAGCGCTTGCCTTGCATGCCTGAGGCCCTGAGTTTGATTCCTCAGCACCACATAAGCAAAAAGAAAAAAGCCGCAAGTGGCGCTGTGGCTCAAGTGGTAGAGTGCTAGCCTTGAGCTGAAGAGCTGAGGGACAGCGCCCAGGCCCAGAGTTCAGGCCCACGACCGGACCCCCCCCCAAAAAAAAAGAATTGAAATGCATCCTGAGCTCAAAGGCAAAATATTGTGTGATTTTGTTCATAGATGGAATCTATATCAACCATTACTACCATCCTTACCACCACCAGCATCATCATGATACATGGATGTTAAATGGGCACTGTTGAAGGGAAGGACCGATAGATCTCCTCTTCCAATATCTCCTCTTCCCAGAAGAGATAACAAGGAGTAGGTCTGGCAGGAGGTAAATATTATCAAAGCAAATTATCACTCCCTTATCTGGGAATAGCATAACAAAAGTCACTACAAACTATGAAAAAGAATGGATGAGGAAAAGGGAAGACTAAAAGTAGTGTAGGCAAGGTTTGACCAAGGTTTATTGTATTTGCACATGTAAATATCACAGTGAAACCCTTTTGTACAATTGCTTTGTGCCAGTAAAAATTGAACCAGTCTGAAAAGCAGTGGCTCATACCGGTAATTCTAACTTTCCAAGAGACTGAGGTCTGAGGATTGAAGTTCAAAGCCAGCCAGGACAGAAAATCCTTTAAGATTCTAAGCTTCAACTTAAAAAAGCAAGAAGTTGAGCTGCGGCTCAAATAGTAGACTGCCAGTGTGGAGTAAGAAAGGCTAAGCACCCAGGCCCTGAGTTCAAGCCTCAGGACCAGTGCAAAAAAAAAAAAATTAACAAAACTAATGTAACCCTACTTAGTGATTTCTTTTGCCTTTTATTCTGAACCGCACATTTTGTGTCACCATTTGGAATATATGGAGCTGATTGTCCTTTCTCTAAAAGTCATTTTTACCTTCAAAAACTACATGCTCATGTATGCACACACAAACACATACACACACACACACACACACACACATATGAGGGTCTAATGTGTTCATTTCACTGTCCTGTTCACTCACATTCACCCTATTAAAGTAAGCAGATGCCACAAAACCTATGTCAAATAATCTTTCTCTGGAGCGATAAGGTTTTCCTCATTTGTAATAATTAGAATATGCCTAGAAATCTACAAGCAAACCCAATGTATGGTAAAAGACAAAAACATTACATTTGGACATGGTAAATTAAACAGCACTCTAAACATCCACACAATGAGAACAAGGGAGGATATTCTTAGGAGAGGATCACAAGGGCTCAATAGCTTTGTGTATATGATCATATAAAATGAAGTTTATTGAAATGAATTCCAAGAAATGGAAACAAGAAGTTTTTTATTTGTGGTGGTTCTTTTTTTCCCCTTGTTTTTTTCCCTTTCGTTGCTTGTTTGGATTTCTGTACCTTTTGTCCTGTACGTATGTTTATCTGATTTGGTGAGGAGAAGAGGAAATACAGAAATGGTGGGACAAAGAGTGAACTCATTCAGCAGTGATAGTCATGAAACACTACATTGGAAACAAACTATACAACTTGGGGGGAAGGGGCAGAAAGGAAAAGCCTGGAGAAAATGTGGGAGAGGTAACACTGTTCAAAAAGAAATGTATTCAATACCTGACTTATGTAATTGTAACCCCTCTTTACATCACCTTTACAATAAAAAAAATATTTAAAATAGGAAGTGTCAGCCAGCGTTCTAATATTTAAATATCTCACACACATTTAAAGTTGGTGTTCCATCTTTGCTGTGACCGCTTTCAACCTGGGTTTGAAAACATCGAAAAGATCTGCTCAACACAGAGAGAAAGCAACAACATTAAATGCCCCTAAGGGATTAAAAAGTTCTAACAAGATCAATTAGTCCCAGAGAGACTGGAAGGAAGGAAGGAAGAAAAAAGTTCCTGATCCTGGCAGCATTCCAAGTCCAAGACTAACCCTTTGAGAACAAATAAAAATAATGAACTATCAGGAATAAATCCCTCAAGATACCTAAGTAATATCATTTTGTGGGTGCTAACACATTGATTATACTTCATATGAAAAAAATAGCAAAATGGAGAGAATAAGCTGAAAATTCTAAAAAGATACCAAAGAAAATAAATCATAAGGCAATCTGGGACATATTTATGTGAAATATTAGAGGATATGTTCCCTGGGCTATTTAATATTGATTTGACTAACTGGCTTTTTTTAACGCATACATTTGGTACATAGTGATTGCACAGATTATAATTAAACTCAGAATTAAACAGAGTACAGTTGTGAGAAAACTACAGACATACTTCATGGAGGTGAAAAAATCATTGTGATTTAGGTAAAGACAAAAAAATCCATTAGAATATTAGTGTATCATTTGCAAAGAAATGGAAGGAACTGAAATAAATTATATTAAGTGAAATAAGTCAGGTTCAGAGGCACAAAAGTTGCATGTTTTCCCTTATATGTGGAAGCTAGAATTAGTTTATAAAAATAGGGCTGGGCAAGAGCAGAGAGACAAATGGCACATGGTCTCCCGATAAATGGATGTTAAAACCAAAATGTAAGGAGATATGGCAAAGTAACCAAGACTCAAGAAACAAAGGACCTCCACTCATCTGGTCAAATCATTACTAAATGACCCCATGCTGTTGACCACAAATATAGTATATATGTACACATTGGAGGGAAACTAAGAGGAGAACACAGAAACAGGGGAAAATATACAACAGCGGGACCCATCAGCTGCACTGGACATTGACCAAAATGAACTAAGTAACTCAATGGCAGGGATGGGAGGGAGGGAACAAGTGGGAAAGAGGGAACAGCTGATGCTATGCAAAACAAAAGAAATGTACATATCACCCAATGTGGAAGAAATAACTGTATTGTCAAAGCTCATAGAACTCATAAACTTTATAGACCACAATAAAGACAATTTGTCTCATGCTGGGGAATAAAAGCTCAGGGACAGCATGCAGGCCATGAGTTCAAGCCCCAGCACTGGAAAAAACAAAGCTAAAATAAGGGAAAATAAAACTGGAAACAATCCTAAATGTCCAACAATGGAAGAGGACTGGTTTAGTAAGTTATGGTGTAAAATCATTTAAAGTGTTTCATATATACTTATCATATATTAATAAAATTATACATGTGTTAACAAAAAATAGGGCTAAGAAGGTGGCTCAGTGGTAGAGTGCTTGCCTTGCATGCATGAGGCCCTGGGTTTGATTCCTCAGCACCACATAAAGCAGTAAAAGCCGGAAGTGACACTGTGGCTCAAATGGTAGAGCACTTGCCTTGAGCTGAAGAGCTGAGGAACAGTGCCCAGGCCCAGAGTTCAGGCCCCACAACCAACAACAATAACAACAACAATATATGTATATACATATATATATATATGCATATGTTGGGTAGTATGCAAGTGCAAACAAACATATTAACTGAAATACAATAGATTGGAAGGAGAACTCAATTAGTGGAATTCCTTGGAAAGTCAAAGTTCACCAAAATAAACACCAGGAAATGGGTACTTGTAAGAGGTGGGTGGGGTCAAGGGGAGATGGGTAGATGAATAAACACTAGAAGGAGGAGAATGAAGTCATGTATATTCTAGAAAATTAAG